TAGGAGGCAGCAAAAGGACGGTGGTAGATAATAAAAGTATGATTTATTGTGAATTCATTTAAGACTTATTCTAGACGCTACGACCTTTCACGCTGACTATCTCTCACAAACTCTCTTTGGAACTATTCGTTTCATATACCCTAGAACCAAAAATTCTTAAGTACTTTACTTGCTGCTTTTTACCATGCCACAATTCAAACGGTGTTTTATTTTCTTTCAAACCTCTCGTTGGAGTTCTATTAATTAAATATGTAGCAGTGAGAACGGCTTCACCCCAGAAAACTTTATGTAATCTCGCACCAGAAATTATTGCACGAGCCTTTTCTGTGACCGTTCGATTCTTTCTGTCTGCTACACCATTGAACTGTGGGGTTCGTGGAACGATCAAATGATAACTAATACCCTTTTCAATACAATAGTCTTTCATCTCATTTGACAAATATTCTCTACCGTTATCACAGTATAAATTCGCCAATTTTAGATTAGAATGAGCTTCTGCCTTTGCAACATGATCCTTAAAAACTGAAGAAGCTCAGATTTATGTACCATTAAGTACGTTACGCAATAATGAGTATGCTCATCGATAAATGTTGCAAAGTAATTTTTATTGTCCATTGTAGAAGGAGTGATTAGACCGCATACGTCTAAGTGAACTATTAACAAAGGTCTTTTTACGTAATTCTTATCTTTGTTCTTTTGAAATGGCATTCTGGCTTGTTTTCCTTTTATACAAGCTTTGCATAAGTTATTATTTGGAACTATTTTGTTAACCAATTCTACAACGCTAATCATTCCTTTATTTCTTAATGACAGAAATTTGTTTTCCGATATGTCCCAAGCGTTCATGCCATAATTCAAAACTATCCTTAGAATAATTATCAGTTTGAATAACTGAGTTCACTCTTACCTGTTCCACTTCAAACTCTATAGTAATTAAATTATTTACAGACTTACCCCTCATGATGACCTTACCATCTTTCAGGATTCTTAACCCCTCCTGATCAAAAATTAACATTCTGCCCATGTTTTGCATCTTTGACACAGACAATAAATTGTACGGGACATCTGGTGAATACAGGACGTCTTGAAGTTCTCCGGTGACACCCATATCGCTGACTACATTCAACATGCCCCTTTTTGTTGCCATTATGAATGAGTTAGTTTTCGCTACCGAGATCCTTATAGGAGCCTGCAATGTTTTGCAGTTTTCCTATTAATAAGTCCTCTCTATTAATAAGGTGGTCGGGCGCTCCAAAATCCAACAAGAATTTGATATTCCCGTTTTCAGTATTGTATTCATAGCCTCCAGCCATGAAAACAAAACCTGTAGTTTCGTTGGAAGTTGATGGCTGTACAGATTGCATAGTCTGCAGTGTTCTTCTGTTGTCATTTCTTTGTTCATTTGCCTTTTTTATGTGTCCTTTTCTGCCGCATTGATAGCACTTTATGATTCCTATGCTTCATCAAAAAGTCTGCATTTCGCTGCATGGAGTATCTTAGTACTCGTATCACGATTTTCTTTGGCCAGCTTGACTTCGTGGTCTAGCAGCCTTATTTTAACACACTCGACACTTATATTGTCTTCAGCTAATGTTTCTATCGCAGTTACCTTTCCATCATACGATGATGCAAGTGTGAAAAGCAGATGCGATATGTTGTCCATTGCTTCTAATTTGGCTCTCGCTGCTTTTAATTCGTTTATTAACCCGTCAAATATTGTAAAATGTTTCATTAGGGCTGTATCGCACTGCAATTTTAAACCTAGCAGTTTCTTACGCAAGGCCAGTTGAGTAGCGAGACTTTTACACTCGTATAAGCTATCAAGATTTCTATGAATTGCCTTTGCACTTTTCTCTGGTGTCACAAGACTTAACAAGGAATCCGCTAAATATTCCACTCTTACACCTTTAGCTGTACGCTTATAAGCTATCAAGATTTCTATGAATTGCCTTTGCACTTTTCTCTGGTGTCACAAGACTTAACAGGGAATCCGCTAAATATTCCACTATTACACCTTTAGCTGTACGCTCTGCCTTCTGCCTTCTGCCACTCTTCTGTTTTATTTAGTGGGGTTTCTTCACCTCTGACGTGAATAATATTCAGTTCTGTTAGTACAGCACGTATGCGAAACTTTCACACGCTGTACCTCTCACCATCGAACGCTTTAATATTACCTTTCGCTGCTACGTTTTCCATTGTTCGTCAGATTCACTTTATTCAATGTTTTCAATTTACGACACTTTCACCGTTTACAATCCACAAATAGTGTTCACTTTTCTCACTTATTCAACAACGTACAACTGGGCCACTATAGAAATCGTTTCGCAAACAACATCAGACTTTTACACAAAAAGAATTTCCAACAGCAAACATCTTTTGCATTTGTATTCGATAACCGCGCATAAAACTGTATGCGAATTACTGAAAAAACACGCCATAAAATTTTTTACCTACACCCCGAAAGGCACGAGAAATATATCGTTGATGTTATAAAACCTAGACGGCGACTTCGAGCCGGAAGTATTACCTAATGAGCTCCGTTCGGAAAATATTCCCAATATTCACTTCGAAGAGCTAAAGAAGTTCGAAACAAGATAATCAATTCTGGAAAGGAGAAAGCTCCCGATCTGTATAGTACAGCTGTATTCTCACATCCAAACGGACAATTTGAAACAGATTAAAATCGTGCTTCATTCCCTAATCCATTGGGAAAAAAAATTGAAAGAAGATCGAGTGCAATGCAAAAGATGTCAAAGAATAGGCCGCATTTCGCTAAACTGTAACCTAGAGTATAGATGAGTTAAATGCAATATTCAACATAACCCAGGAGAGTGTTCCGGAACAGATGCAACAGTTGATAAGCCTTACTGCGTCAACTGCAAGAGCTTCGGTCTCCCTGCCTCCTACAAAGGATGCTCGAAGCTCCAAGAGTTGAAGCAGAGAATAGAGGAAAGGAAACAGTTCATAAAAATAGAAAAGGAAAGAAAGAAGCAATTAATAAATAAAATGATAAATACGAATGTCTCCTACACCTACTCCTGTCTCCTCGGGCAAGCAAACAAAAACGCAAGCTATCGCCAAGATAGGATCCAACAGACCGGCACAAACTAACTCACTGAACACACCCAACGCGACATTACTAGGAGAAATTAGACCAATGTCAAACTCTATAAACCAGCAGATCGCACGTATAGCGGAAACCGTGGAAATAAATAGCAATAAAATCAACTTCATCGTAGAATCCCTCGGAATAGATTTGTGGCGGCTAAGATTCCGCCACTACGCCCATGCAAAAGGAGCAGGGACATTAGGGTCGAGGGTGCACCGGGTACGTCCCCGCAACATACCAGCAGTCGCTGTAGGTCAGCAGGCTTGTGGCGGCTAAGATTCCGCCACTACGCCCATGCAAAAGGAGCAGGGACATTAGGGTCGAGGGTACACCGGGTACGTCCCCGCAACATACCAGCAATCGCTGCAGGTCAGCAGGTATTGTCCCGCGGATGGCATTGGCTATCGTCAATGTCATGCCGGGGATTAGTCTTGGGACCGGGCAGCGATGTTGCAGACCAACGGTCGTCTTAATTTACGACCTCCCTAGGCGGTCATCATGACTTTCCCGCGCGAGGGCGGTTCCCGCGTAAACCTTTCCCGCGAAAATTTAGTTTTTCCCGCGCGCGGGTTGGCGGTCTTTTTCTACCCCTTCCACGAACACTCGACCGCTTTAAAAGCTCCTAACTCAGAGGACCACGGAACAGTTGGAAACCTACGACGCCGTGATTATTGTCCCGACGACCGCGACGACCGCCGACATAATGATTGCGACCCACCTCAGATTTTTAATGAATACTCCCGGGAGAATAGTAGCGACACATATAGCTAACAAAATAACGTTAAAACGACTGAACATAATACGGATAAGCGTAAACTCCGTTATAACGAATGAGAGACGGACCTCTGTCCTGGACTGCCTAAATGAACGAAAACCGGATATAGTGTTACTTTGCGAAACGAGATTAAATTTTAGACACAAAATTGTATTCGAAAATTACTATTTTGTTGGAAATGATGGGTTTAACGCTAAACAAGCTGGAGGAACGGGCATCGTCATACGTAAGGACATTAAATTCAGACACATTTACTTAGACCACGAAACGACAGACAAAAGCTTCGAATCAACAGTTATAGAGATAAAGCTTCAAGGCGCGGCCAAGCTATTCATAATCGCAGGGTACGCGGCGCTCAATGGTAAGAAAGAGTTTATGACAGAGTTCAAATCGCTATTCAGACAGCTTGAATTATATAGAGCCAATAATTATTTTATCCTGGCCGGTGACCTGAACGCGAAACATCACTCCCGGGGTAATGGCACAAACAATAGCAGAGAGACACAACTGAACATGTGCGTCTTCGGAAACTATAACGCATATTATGTTAGATCTTTTTTAGCAAACGAGAAAAGTGCAGCAGTATCAACAGAAGAAGATATATGGCACAGAAGAATGGGACAAGCAAATAAAGAAATAATAAAAGAAACGAAGAGAGAAAATCTGGCAATATGTATGACCAACAATTGGAAAAGGGAATGCGAATCGTGTATGGAAGGTAAAGCGTGTAAAAATTCACATCGGAGATTGGAAGGTATAAGAACAAAACGGATTATGGAATTATGGCATGCAGACTTAATAGGCCCAATTAAACCATCGACACATGGTAAAAAAACCACATCTTGACAATAATAGACGATTTTTCTAGGATGATGTTTGTGCGATTATTGAATAATAAAATTGAAGCTGCCGAGGAAGTTAAAAAATTGATCACGATCAAGGAAAATCAAACTGAATCAAAATTAAAAAGAATGAGATCTGACAATGACGAAGAGTTTATAGGAAACAATTTAAAAAAATGGTTTAAAGAGAAAGGCATTGTACACGAGCTGAGTCCTCCGATGACTCCGCAAAGCAACGGAGTGGCCGAGAGAGGTAATCGAACAATTATTTAAACTACCAGAACAGTGCTGGCGGATTCAAAATTAGATTTGAGATTTTGGGGTGAAACAGCAAGTACTGCTGTATATACACGAAATAGAATAAAGTCGCGGGTACATGGAAAAATCCCATACGTAGTGTGGTATCAAAAACTACCTAATGTAAAACATATGAGAAGGTTCTGATGTATGACATATGTGCTCGATAAAATATGAACGAGGACAAAATTTCAATAAAAAAAAAAAGACGTCAAGACCGTTGATGTTCATATAGCGTCCAACTTTTGGGTCGAAACATTTGTTAAACCATTCAGTATAGATATCTATAGTAACCCAAGCTTTTTTGTTTGCCATCCAGTGAACTGACAATTTATTCAAATCTACACCTTTCATTGAACGTGGTTTTAGGGCTCGATTTACAAGCGACATATAATCTCCTGAAGCGTTGGAGCAAAATAACGTCACACGATCCTTAGCTACCTTAAATCCACTATCTCTTTTCTGCGCCTCTGCTACGTAAGTTCTGTTCGGCATTCTTTCCCAAAAAAGATCACCTTCATCTGCATTCCAAACTTGATCAGGAATGTAGCCTCCATCTTCAATTATTTTAGCAAGTTTTAGCGGAAATTTTTTAGTAGCCGATTCATCTGCAGATGCAGTTTCACCTTTAATTTTTCTATCGTGGTAGGCATGTCTTTTGAGAAAACCTGTCATTCAACATGTACTTGCAGAAAATTCATACTTTTCGTTTAACTCTGATGAAGTGCCTGGTTCCATTTCTTTAATCTGTGTATACATTCTGAACGCTGTTCGATTGATAGCATTTCCGTCTACTGATACTCTTTTCTGCGATTTATCTTCTATCCATATTACCAGAGTTTTTGCCATTTTCTCTTTGACAATATCTCCTGTGTATGATGATGGGTTAGCACTTAACTTTGTTCCAGAACATACCGACTTTCTAATAGCAGCTTCATTTTTCTTGATAGTTCTTACGGTAGCTTCATGTAGGCCAAAATGCTTTGCTATAGACGTTGCACCTTGTCCAGTTGCAAGGCGATCTAAAATTTGAATTTTAATATCCAAAGAGATCGCTTTCCTTTTCGTTTTTGTTATAGGTGAATTATGTGACATTATCTAAGGGCTACCGAAAATTATTTCAGTTATAATTAACCCCCTGTAACTTTACTTTGCAAGAATTCTGAGAAAGTACGTCTGCTGATCCGAATACGGCGAAGGAATTGAGTGTACGAAGTCGCTTTTAGCCCGATCAGCCGTAAAACGTCTCTGAGACATTTTGGTTACATTTGCCCAGGTCGACTTACAACGTCTCTGAAGCGATATTGTAGGCTAAAGCGTTAATAAAACAAAGGTTTCAAAACTGTAACTTCCCATTTATTGACTTTTACGCAAAATTAATTCCTCGGTCTCCAATGTCGCAGTTATAAAAATAAAAGTAAAGCAAAATTTTCTTCTTAGAATTTGGGTCGATCGTGTTACATCAAAATAAGTCGTATAAAAAAATTTTTTCTTAATTCGTGTTAAATCAAAATCGTGTAAAAGAAGTTCGTGTAAAAACAGAATTGGGTGTATTTCAAGTAGGGAAATATACTACGCGAAGGCAAAAAATTGGACCAGACTATAATATCATTACTGGATAAAGATATATTATCAGGATTATATATGGACAATTATCGCAACAGTGTTCATACCGCAGGATTTCTTATGAAAATTGGTACACGAGTTTGCGGCACAATTAAAGCAAATAGAGGTTTTCCCGAGTTTTTAAAACGTTTCAAATTGAAAACTGGAGAATATGAATTTAAAAGAAAAAGAGAAATTTTTAGTACCCTGATTCGATTCTCACCTCGAGGGCTGCCAGCTTTTCTACTAACGCGTGTTATTGCGTTGTCTACTTTGACACTCTCCACTTGCTTACCGTTCACCTCGTGAATTTTATGGACGATGTCCGCCACTCTGCTTGCAACGTGGTCCGAAGTCAGCTAACGCACAGCATGCGATGAAACGCTTCTGCTATCGCACCTCCGCCCAAGTGCCGCAGGTGTCGCAAGAACTGGGATGGCTTTCGGTCTCCGATTTCTTCCTGCTCCAGGAGACGACGTACTTGTGGTGTTATTCAACGCGAACTGGATCTCAAGGAACGGAAACGATACGTCTGGCTGTTCTACCCGGAACAATTGGAACCGTCACGCGGTTTACTTCTGGCACCGATACTGATTCGCTTCGGGACTCCATTTCGTGTTCGATCACGCCGGGGTCACCACTTTCAGAGATTGACTACCTTAGCAATCGAGAACTCACTTTTTATTACGTGGGCATCCGATTGTTCTTTTGCTTTGCTGGGGGCACGCGTCGCGGAACGTTCTCCATGACTATAATCTATTTAGTCATTTTTTGCGATACGCTTCCCCACGCGATTTGCGATCGGCTATTGAATGTTCTCGATGTTTCAATCTCGTTACACTCTTGCAAATTGACCAATGGCATTGTACTCATAATTTATTAAAATTGCGATAAATGCCCAGAACTCTTCGTTCTCCACATCACGCCTACTTCGCATATCGGATTTGGCGATAGCGTCTTCCCTCCCAATTTCTTTTTCGCATAATTATTCGTTTTGGAAACTATTTTTTGAACGAGTTCATCGCTATAAAAGCAGTTTAAAAAAATCCACGGTTTCTTTTTTATTTAAAGTCATGTGTGTGCCTGTGAGTTGACGAAACCATAAGTCAATCAAGAGCAAACTCGTCTTCCCCGAGTCTGCAGAGTACTCTCGACTCCATTATGACACAACTAGCTAGAATGCAAGATACGCAAATCCTGATTCAAGAAACAGTAAGAGCGAATATCCGAAATATTAAATTTTTACATGAAAAATTAAACGAAACTGAGCAAGCAGCAACATTGAAACATTTGAAAGCCCATATTTTGTATTACGATCTCAAGTATCCACTCCAGTTACAGCCAACGACTGCCGAAACAAGCTATTGTCAACTACACGAGGCTTTGGTGAAAATGTTCTTCAATACAGTGTAAGATTCCGACCATCACTCAGTGAATTATTATACTCCTTACAAGCAAATCATTCCAAAGGTAGAACTTACACCATGAATCTTCCAGAGAAAATCGGTTCAATCGTTATAGTATCCAATCCAAGATATAAGAGATAGAGCTGGACGTAATAACACTAACTTCCAACAGAATCGCTTTAAGTCACCAACTCGACCATTACCTCGAGTGAGAAATCTGACACTCGTATCTGTTAAACGGCCAGAAGTTAAATATGATCAAGAGATCCTTCTCCGGTCGGCTTTCTAGACCTCTTATCGAACTGCTATATGACTCGACAAGACTGCTAAGAATAAGAGCTACAAACAAATCTTCGTGAACCTCCTGGCCAATGGCAGTTAACTAACCTTGGATCTCAATCATCGAATTTATGTGCTCTTCTAGATTTTCATTTTCCTTGAGCTTTAGTCTGCACAAACGTTTTAATAGAAATACCTTATTCGACAGAGATGACTTTTGGCGATACTCTTCTAGTGTAAGCCACGCTGCTTTTGCGTTTTCGGCTGTGCGAATATGGATGAGTGGATTATCTTCCACGAAAAGTCCGATCGCTTTTGTTTTTCCGTCCTTTTGCAATAACATGGCGTCTGATGATGCTGGTGTGGAGTTACTTATTGCATCCCAGAGGCCTTCTTTGATGAGCAGCAGCTTCAGTTTATATTTCCACGATTGATAATGATCATTGTTCAGTATCGAAAGAGCAACACGTGGTAATTCCGCCATTGTTCACTACCCTCTTTCGCGGTATTCCGAACTAACTGTAACGCGGTATTAACTTTCCGTGATTTATCCTTTTTTAATAATCACCTATCGGTCCTGGGCCCATAACCTATTGGAATTGGGTGAAGAAAAAGAGAACGCATGGCAGCTTTTATGATCACGTTTTATTTCTTTAATAACAACCGTACTGTGTCGTGGCTCTCACTGAACTGTGTAGAACGTTTTGGTCATCACGCCTATTACTGCAAAAGCAGTTGAATCTACAAATTTTTAAATGTTGTGCCGTCCGATGGCATCTTGGCTACACTCACTTACTACATACCGACACTTATATTGTTTACTTCGGAAGCAACCCCAAACATGTCTTTCGCAGACTACTGTTCGAGTGGAACTGAAGACTTAAAATAGATTCGATTTTTGGATTTCTGCTTGTATGGCCGGCCACCTGACGGCGACCAGGATATAAGTTTGAGCCAAACATACCCCAATTACTTGATTAAGCCAAACGAATATTATTGTTAATCAGTAAATTAAGAAATGTATTAGAGTTAGGTTACACTATGTTGTCGTACCACACCAACATTTAAAAAAAATCTAAATTGACATATTATTCAAATTAATTAAATTTAATCTTTTTCTCCTCCCGTTATATACGCTCGCCAGGGTTTGTTTGTAGAATGAAACGATAAGCGATCCTTTGAAACTGATACGTCCACGGGTCACGTACAGACCGGATGAATGCGGTAGTGTCAAAATTTTTGCAAATATCATGAAAATTATGGCCAAGCGAAAATTATTGTTCAGATAAAAGGTGTTCAAAATCTCGTCCCCTATGACATGTTCAAAAGTCATAGGGATCGACTCACGCATTTTGCAGTTTTTTACAATTCTATGCTTTTTGTCAAAAAGCCAATAACTTTTGCAAGCTCCCCCGATCTATATTTCTTTTGAGGTATAAACAAAGCCTTCTGTCAAAAGATCGGAAAGAAAAAGACGCGTATAGGGCAAAGCCGCTAAACTGCATATTTACCAAAATTATAATCAACTCTCCGCCGTATTACACCACCGAGTAAAACTAGGTATCCTTAACATTATGGGAGAAAATGTTGATAAAATTCAAGAGACCATTTGTAGGAGATGAATATCAGGTTGTAGGGAAGATACCATTTGAAATATATTGTTTCCAAGAGAGAGGTTTATTAACCGTTTGAGTTCCATAGTGTTTTGAAAAAATACTGTCGAAGAATGAGCCTTCTCTAAATGAGTACGTGAAATCCCAAGCAGCCCGATAGCGCTTCTTCTATTTTATGTCAAGATATATCCTAAGTGGCGCGATAAGGCTTCGACTTGAACAGTCGGTGACGTACCGTCAGCTCTCGAGAACGCTCGAAATGCGCTGGGTTTTCTCGACATGAAATCTGAACAGCGCGACGGCGCTGCTTGGGATAT